TTTTTTTTTGGGAAATTTTTTTGACAAAAAAAATTTAATTTTTTAAAATGAATTTTTTTGGAAAAATTAATTTTAGAAAAATTTTTTTTTTCTTTTACCCTTTTTTGTAAAAATTTTATTTTTTTTTGTTAATAGCTCGGCCCTTTTTGGGGCCAAACCCGGATATTTTTCCCCAAATTTTCACATTATTTTTTTTTACCCCCGGGGGAAATTTTTTAAAATTTATCGGCTTTTTTTCAAAAGCCCCCCCCGGTCAAAAAAAATAGAAAACCCATTTTTAAAGGGTTATATTTTTAAAACCCCTTTTCCAGGGGGCCTCCGTGGGACGTCTAAATTATATAAAAAAATTATTATAATAAGTTTTTTCCAAAAAAGAACTTTTTTAAAAAAGGTTTTATTCTGTTAAATTTTCCAAAAATTTTTATTTAAAAAATTTTTTTGGCCCAAAAACGTCCTTAAAAAAATTTGGGGCCCCATGTTTTCCCAAACCCAAAGTAAACCCAACATGGAAAAACCCCATTTTGTTTTAAAAACCCAGGGCCCCCAAAACGTGTCGGATAAAATTCCTAGCCCGGAAAAGAAAGGCAAAAATTTTTTTTTGTACGACAATCGATCTAAAAATGTATTTTAAAAATAAATTTTTCCCCCCAAAATGTTATTCTAGGAAAATATATAAATATGTGTGTTCTAGAAAAATATTTAGAATTTAAAAGATAAGCAACAAAACATTCGTTTCATTTTTAAAATTTTGTTTTCCAGTAACATAAGCACACATTTTCCTTCCTCTTTATTAAAATTCAACTATAATTTTTTAAAAGGGGGCCCAAAATGCCGGGGAAATTTCTTGGGAAAAAAACAAAAAAATAGTAATTTCTTGTTAACACAAAACTACACCTGTCATTAAAAAAAAAAATTTCGTAGAATATAAATAATCGTCTGTCACTATGAGTCATTATTTTTCAAAAGAAAAAAAAAAAAAGGGAAAGGGTTTTCTACTAAAACCTAAATAATATAATTCATTTTAAAATTTTTTTAAAAATTTTTAAAAGGGAAAAAAATTTAAATTTCCCTATTTAATTGTTTCGATTTTTCTACACGGCAAAACCGTTTATAATTTGATAAAGAAGTAAAATTTTTTAGAGATGTGGCTTTTTTCTATTATAAAAATGTATTTTATTCAAACATTCAATTTCTGTTGGGTTTTTTTTTAGTAGGTCTTGATGAATTTAAAAATACAAATTATTTTCAGGGTAACCTTAATCTTTTAAACCTTTAATGTCCTTAAAAAAGTTTTCACTCCGCCCCTTTTTTCTTACCTTTTTATTTCTCCCAAAAAATGTGAAAGTTCTATAATTTTTCTATCTTTTTTTAAAGATCTTTTTCCTTTTTGATGCAGTTTTTAGTGAAAAAATATGTTCCTTTTTTTTTTGCCGATTTTCCTTTTAAATTTTAAAATATTTTTTTCCCCTTTTAAAAAAAAAGCCAAGAGAAAAAAAAATTTCAAAAGTTAAGTTTATGTAGCCTATTAAAATATATATCTAGGATTTTTTTCTGTTTAAATGGTTTTTTTTTGTTTTTTTTCCCAAAAAAAGTTTAAAAAGAATTTAATCATTTATCTTTATCGGCGATCTCAAAATTTCAGTTCAAACAAAAATAAAGCGATTTTGCTGGGGTTTTTTTTTGTTGTTTATATTTAACTCAGAAAAATAGTAGGCTTATCTTTTATTTTGTATTCCTGACGATCACATGATAAATGCAATCACATGTTCTTTATTGAATTAAATATATATCGACATTAGACATGTACTAGCTCTACTAATAAAATTAAGATCGAATTTGATAATTAGATAAAGATGTTCAAATATCAAAATTCTCCAAAGAAAATTTCAAAATTAAAGAAATAAATTATACTATACGTGTACTTTTAAATCAAGTGCGTTTTGTTCACCAATGTGCGTTATTATTGACAAATACGAACTTCTTAAGAGGAAGCTTCTGTAAAAAGCAAAAGTTGGCAACAGCGAAGCTCATGAACTGATTGGCTGGAAATAAGTGATTTCATGTATCATGCGTCTATGACATCACATGAATTTACGAACTGATTAGCTGGAAACACTTGATTGTAGTTATGATGTAACTATGACGTCACAGGAATTTAGCCCATTTAATCTAATGAGATAATCGAAATTTACGCGAATGTTTGTATTCAAAATATAGCACATTACGATATTTTCGCTTTTATACAAATAACAAAAATCTTAACTAATTAAAGTTGTAACCAAAAAAATTCTTCTAAAAGTTAAATTTAAAGAGTATTTACCTTGGGGACAGATATAAAGAGTCAGATTTCAAGTGTTTTAACGTAATTTCAGTACAATTTCAATTTTTGTTGTGAAACTTAATTTTTAAGACGTTGAATATCTTGTGTGTGTGTGAAATTATTATCTTGCATTTATTAAGTGCCATAAAAAATTTAAGGCTTTATTTCAATGTCATATGTATAAAAATAAATAAAAGCGTTAAATTGATTGCAAATGTAACAAAAACAAGCACTGTCTTCTTTGCAGATGTTTTTTTTTATATCGCTAATATTAAAACTGCACCGTTGCAATCATTTTTAATTTTTTTTAAAAAAAGATTTTTATTTGTTTACTAATGCACTTAAGATAATAAACAATCTCTCTCACGATCTAAATCTCATCGGGACTATTATAAAATATCGACTGCCAGAACGAAATCACTTTTAAATGCTCTTTGGAACAAATACAAATCGTTTGAATAAATATAAACTGTTCGCGTTCCTTTACGAAGAGTTCTCTAAAGTCACGAGATGCAACTCTGGAATCCAATAACCGTTGCCAGAAGATGAAGAAGAAACTTCTCATCCGCGACGAATATCCAATCAGATTAAAAGACTTCGGAAATATTCCGCAGACGATTTGGTTACCTTGGAGACAACAGAATGGAAGCATTCTTTTCATTATTTGCCAGAAGGAGGAAAAGCGAGAAGTTTAATGATGAGCACTATCGCCGAGATATTCCCCAAAGTTGTGTTCGCGTGAAATATTGCTCTCAAAAAAGAATTCTTTTTATAGAATTTCTAAGCAGGCAGTCCTCTCATCCTGTTTGCAGTGAAATACGCCATCTTGGAATAAATCGTTCGATGTGTCGCTTTGTAGTATTTCTCAGACATTCAACAGATATTTATTCCAAATCTAAAAAATTCTATAGAAGTTAAGCGATTAATTGGAGAATTTTTATTAACGAATTTTCATGTGGCTTTGTGAACTCCTTATGTAAAATTATACCATGGAATAAAAGATATTTCCCTTAATAAAAAAAAACATGCATTTTTAAAAATTTATTAAAACTATTGGTTGTGAGTAACAGCGATAAATAAATAAATAAATTAGAAAGAGAGATAAATATGAATGAATTTATAAATATAGGAGAAAAGCATGGAGTTAATGAAACACCATTTTTAGCGGATCTATTCACCACAGAGCAAACATGCTTGCCAAATTCCAAGTCCAATTGTTCGAAAATGGGATTTTTTTTGTTTTTTTAATCTATAACACTCCCGCAACCTCTGTTGGGAATCTATTTCCACAAAACCCGTTCTTAGCGGATATCTACTGAATAGAAAAAAGATATTTGATAAATTTAAAGTGTATAGAAATATAATAATTTAAAAACGGGAATTTTTTTAACCATAAAAAGCCCCCGTACTCCCCCTCCCCTCTTAGGTTGTCTATTTCCTCAAAACCCGTTCTTATCGAAGCTTTACTTAATAAAAGAAACATGCTTACCAAATTTCAAGTCTGATGTGTATTAGTTTCGGAGATCTCGACAAGAGTGTGTGAGTCGCTTTTCTCTTATGTATATTTTAATTAGAAACAGAAGAATTTAGAAAGCGCTGGTAATCGTATATTATAGGACTCTGATTTGCGTAATTCCAGTAATTTGCGTGCAACACCATCTATCGACAAAAGTGTGAATTGTTATCTGTCTCCCCCTCAAAAACATGCAACTTACAAGAAAAAATAACCATTGAAATGTACCAATTCGTAAGAATACCTGGTAGTGGTACGTGTGTGTGTATAACCGAGTGTGCAGAATAAACTGAATTTTTTTGGTCTTTATTTATACATTTGCGTGCTTTGCGAATTAAATATAATCCTTCAATGTTTTCACAGATGTGGTGAACGACGCTGTCTTCGAGGAGGACCACGACGAGATGGTGATCGTCAAAGACATCGAGATGTTTTCCATGTGCGAGCATCACTTGGTTCCTTTCATCGGAAAAGTAAATTTAAAAAAATTTTTCTTCTAACTATATACATATAACATTCGATTTTAAGGCTTTTAAGGTAACTAACGTTCGAAACCGTGATTTTAAAAAAACGTACAACTGAATAATTGTTTGATATTTAGTGTGTTACTTGAATCAGAATATACACGCAACACTTTTTACTCCGATTTTGAAATAACACAGTACTGGGATTTAACGTTTTTTATTTTTTTATTTTCTACACCATTTTTGTTCTAGAAAGAATTTAAAAAAAAAATTGGGGATTAGAGCCCTATGGGTGAGGTCGATTTGAACGAGTTTATAACAGTTTTTTTTAACAAGTATTATAAAAAAAAATTTAATTCAATTCCTTCTTCAATCTTTTCTTCAATTTTTGTTTCTTTTTATAAAACAAGTAATATAAAAGATAATTTTTAAGTCTATTCCTACTTAGGTCAACAAAGAAAATTTTATTTTAGTTACTTCTTATTAAATAGTTACAATTAATATAAATATGTATATACATATGAGACAGAATCACACTATTAAGTGACAACATAAAAAGTGATTTTCCTTGCAATTTTCCATTTTCCTTTCTGTAGAGGGTGTTGGACTATTTTTTTTGTGTTACTATTTATTCATTAATTAAATTTAATTATTCTAATAAAATAGTACAGTAAAAAAGAAATCACATTCTCAGAAATTAGGCTATCCCAGGTGGGATTCGAACCCATACCTTTTGGATTAAAAGGCCAACGCGCTATCTATTGCGCTACAGGGACACAAGGAAGCGATTTTCCTTTTTATATATGCTATGTGACTATTATTTTTGTTCGTTACTATTTATTCATTTTTTAATTTAATTAATGAACTAATATTTGAAAACACTGTATTAACATCAAGTGTCATCCATTACAAATTTTAAAATATGTATTTGAACTTGAAGGGATAAATAGAAAGTTTTTTTATTAACAATTGAAAATTTGAACAAGGTACATAAATATATATAGGGAGAGAGTAAACTAATAGTAGGAATTGAATAAAGTCGATACTATTTCTACGTAATCTTGCATATCAAAAATTATATAATATCTGGAAATTATCATTAAAGTATCGTATTGTCATCCAAAACAATTGTGTATATGTTTGTTTTATAAATATGTAACATGGATTTTATTATTACTTTTTTTTTCTTTTGCACAATTTTTGGAGATTATATTTATTTATCTTACATGATCTTTTAAATATGTGGAACATATCCACAAATTTACCATATGTCGCATGTATTTTTTACACGATTTTTTTTGCACGGTTTTGTAATGAACGTATCTACCGTGTAAAAAAAAAGAGTTGGAAGTACATATACAATTGTTTTAAGAATATTATTACAAGAAAAACTTATTTAAATGAAATTTTTTGACAACACAGGAAGAAAGAATGACTTATTTTCGGAACATTCTCCTTTTATTTGAAAAATGCTTCTACAATAATATGTTGCATATATATAGCTAAGACTTCTCTACAGGGACTGGACTTGGATTTTTAAAAAAATTCATATTATTTTCAGCTACGAACAACTGAAATAATAACAGGTGTTTTTTGTTAAAATTTCTCCACTCTCTGATGTAACAAAGCATGAATAAAAATCCACTCCTAAATTTGTATTTCAAAACTCTTTGTTCAACCCCGGTCTAGAAGCAAAATATTATTATTATTATATAAAAGAATTTTTCATAAAAGGAGAACGATTTGAAAATTTGTCATTCTTTCTTCATTTTTTGCCTAAAATAAATTGCTTATTAATATTTTTTTTTCTATTAATAATATTCTTCAAATAATTTTATATGTACATTCTTATTCAACTGACACTATTTTTTTTTAAATTATTCATTCATGTACGGTTTTTTAAAGTCACGGTTTCGAACGTAGTCGGTCACCTTAAGATTGAAATAGGTTATAGAATTTCTTGTGTTATGAAAAATGATTCGCTAATATATCATTATCGATATACAGGGGATTCATAAGGAAGTATACAGTTTCAACGCATTACAAATCAAGAACAATGCAAGATATTATATGTAACCTGTAACAGAGAGAGAGAATTCTATGGAACTATTTTAAGTTTTGTTAGAGACAGTCACGTATGTTCTATGTGTGTACCCTTAGTCGTACAACACACATCAAGTCGTTACACAATTTTAACCAGTGGAGATTTAAGCTCATTTCAAGCCCTGGGCGCAGAAGATCTAAAGGCCCCCTTGACACTGGCAGATCGAAATTTATAACTAGAAAATCTGGTTAAGTCCAGCTTATCCGGGCCCCTGGGCGCCCAGTGGATAAGCCGGCTCTGTTATTTTAACTCAAACGTGTGTTAAGGTATCAAGTCTATTGATAGCGACTGTGATACGCTGTTTCGTCTTCATCCCGGACTTCTACTTTAGCACAAACATTCCATAGTTTTAAATTTTTCATACCATAGTTAGATAAGTTTTCTAGTTGGAGGTTCTTCTCCAAACCGTGATTGAAATTGCTGTTGCACAGCAGTTGCGGATTTCATTCAATAACACAAAAAGCCCTCTCCACTACAGACACCGCCATTTCAACTGACTAGTCAGGCTTGTTACGTGACACGCTTTCTATATTGCTTATATCACTTTCATCAGGGCCTAAGAACAAACTTTAACTATTATACACCATTAAAATATTGTACGCCACATCTGGTGCGTTTGATGAAACCGAAGCTGCCATCTTTAACGTCATTTTGTTTATGACGTAGGGCGCCGAAGAACCCCATTGGCTGGAATTTCAAGCAACTTTTATTTGGAACAACTTTTTCAGCTGACTGGGAAAAAGTTGTTCTGAGCCGTTGCTATGACAACTAGGTAGAAATTGTTCGGAATTGATTGGAAAATTGCTCCAAAAGTGTACGTGTGATAAGGCCCTCACGATTCACTGAGGTAGTTCCTGTTCTTAACTGTTGCCGTTTTACAGCATCTGGAAAGTGTATACCCTTATGAATCTCTTTTTCTCTTTCTTCATTTTCTATATTGAACAAATATTTATTAGAAATGGACAAATTAAGCGATTTTTAAACACAGTTCATTTGGCTGACATCATTACTCACATGATAACTGCATCACGTATTTAAGTCTATCAATACTTTGCTGTTGCCAACTTTTACATCTTACAGAAACTTTCTTTTAAATAGTCCATATTTGTCAACTGTAATAAAGCACATAAGTAAACCAAATGCACTTGATTCAAAAGTAGGCGTGTATATAAGTTCTTTTTTTTTTTTTTTTTTTTTCCTATTTTTAAAAGCTTTTTAAAGAATTTTAATACTTCAACCTCTTTAACCAATTTTATCAGATTCGTAATTTTATCTCAATTTTAAAAATAGTATAAGTCTAATGTCAGTTTTGAATGCAATGGAGAAACGTGATTGCAATTATATGACCTTCATGAATATAGCCCGTTGTAGTTTCTCGTGACATTTCAACATGATTCATCTACATGATCATCAACTTTTACTATTATTTAGATTGTGTTGGTAAAAATAGTATAACACACTTTATAAAATCGAACAGGTGTATATTTTTCCTTTACTCAGTTATATTATTTTACAGACATATACATTTAAATAATTATAATCCATTTTAATCGTATTGTATGATATTTTAATAACAACTCTGAATTTTCCAAAATATTGAACGATATCTTTGTCCTTAGTTTCTACAAGTATTTTTTTGAAATAGCTTCATTAATTTTTAAATATCTGAAAAACTAAAACTTGAAACAACAGCGGACATTACCGTAAAAAATATTTTTCACAAGAAAACATTATATATAACTATGAGTAGACGAAGTATTATTTATGTACAACCTCCGACAATAAAGTTCGGTGAATAAAGTCAGAACGGCTGATCTGGCAACAGTGGTGAAACAAAACGCAGCACATGTGTAGCGGCAGGTGTTGACTATCTGCCCTCACCATTGTTCAGTTAAGACTCATTGGTGTTCCGTATAAGACTTGTTTTACAAAGTGCTTGTTTAGTAAGTTGGTTTTTAACTGAGAACAGGAAAATGAACGAACAACAGATCAATTTAATGTTTTGTTTTAAGCTTGGCAAGAAACCAAAAGAAACTTATGCGATGCTGGTACGTGTTTATGAAGATCAATCACTGTCCATGAAGTGTGCGTATGAGTGGTTCGCCCATTTTCAAAGAGCAGGGAAAGTGTTTCTGACAACCCCCTGTTGTATCTTCCTGTGTGTGGTTGAATTACAAATTAAACTTATTTACCGGATTTACCGTTTTATTATTTTTTCAAAGCACATCACTATATTTACAACTCAATTAACAATTACAAATTGGATAGGGAGCTACAGGCATCTTCCTCCATTTTCCCGTTCGAGATCACCTTCTTCTTCCAGCTCAATGGCCAAAACAGTTCACAGCAGTGCCCTCTTTCTAGTCTATCGTGCGCTACGTGTCAAGCCTCCTAGTGCGCTATGTGCCAAGCCGTTACACCCCGTAGAGGAAGGCTGGCGACCTTAGTCAGTGACGAAAACATTGAAAAAGTGTGAGGAAATGAATCACTAAAGATCGTCAATTAACTGTGCGTATTGAGACATAGCCATCCTGTGATGACCATGTCTTGCCGGTTCCGCGTAAGCTAGAGGTGTGGGATTATCGAAAATGATGAGACATAATTCTTAATACAGCTTTTATTAAGAGTAACTTATAATACTTAAATTCTAATTTGACAATTGTGTAATTAGAGTGAGAGTCAAGCCCAAAGTAAATCACGTATTTAAGTCGAATCACGCTACTCGTCTCTTCTCAATTATCCTAAATAATCCTGTTATCTAATTACTAATATCTAATATTACCTTTTCAGTTCTGGTCCCTTGACCTAGAATATAATCTATAACTTTATATAAGAAAGATTCTTGATCCGCAAGGCAGCTAATTCTTGACTGCTTATTCTTGGTCCGCAAGATTTCACACACTAAGCTTTTGTCACGCTATTGATCAGAATGATTCCACACTACAACCTCTGAGCCTGCTACGCTATATGCTATCTTATGTTATATCTAGCTTATCACGATATCCTTTTATAGTATATCATTTACATATTCGATCCGTTTCTCTTCTTGAGTATTGGGTTGGAAAGGTTTTGCCATTAATGCGTGGCCGTCAAAGAACATAGAGGTCATGTTAATCAGAGGACGCGAGAGACGTCACAACCCCTCAGAAGAAACGTGATTTACTAAGGAGTTCTCAATGCCTTAATAAATTACGTGTCTAAATCTCTATTTCTAAATTTCTTCGCTTTCTGAGGTTTTATTTAAATTTTAATCTTAAATTTTGCTTTTATAATTTTAAATTTATCTGGACTTTAATTTTCATTACTCATCTTAGAATTTTAATATTCAATTTAATTTTAAACTCATTGACAATAAATTTTTACTCAATAACTAGGCCCACATTAATAATTACTGTTTAATTTGTGCCTACTCTCACTTACATTTTCGTTACTTAAAATATTTATACATAAAAACTACCATTCTGGGTGCGCAGGCCAATCTGCGCTATATGGAGCTGGTACTTCTGCTCCTTTTCTTAACAACCTGGAAACACTTTGGAAGTTATACTTTTCAAGATTTTTCGGTCAGTCTCCCTGAAATGAAACTATTTGAGTATCTATTTCCATAATATTAATCAATTTTACATAAATTATTTATATCACAATAAATTTTTCATCTCCATCCCTACATCT